TATTATCATTGTGAATCGATTTATTTTTTTTTAAACTTCGAATTAAAAAAACATATGTATTACCATAAGTTAATTGCGTGAATCAAATTAATTGTTAAAGTTTTTTTAAAAAGAAAAATTTAATTTGTATACAGTAAGACCTCGATTATTTCCAAAGATCTGATTGGTTGTTTGAAGTTTTTTGGAAAAATGCGAGGTAATCTTAAGTTAGTTAATTTAAATTATTAGCTGATATAACAATTTACTAAAAAATTCAAAATCTTCAATTTGGAAAGTGTCAAGGTTTTTAAAATAAAAAAAATGGAAATAACCGAGGTCTTACTGTATCACAACAGCCGCCTCAACACATAAATTTAAAAACATTTTCCTATAATTCAAATAATGTTATAAATCACCATCTACAGGTTAAAGTCAACTTAGAAAAAGTTCAATTGATTTTTTTAAATAAGCTAAGAATCAAATTTGTTGTAAATAAGAATTTTAATAGACAATGAGATTGGTTGAAATTTAATTTAAAAGTAATATTTGGAGAATTATAATTTAAAAATAAATTCATTTTAAAAAATTTCAATTTAAACAAATTGTTTATTTATTATCTTTAGTGTAGTGATTACTTTATTATGTCAATTGATTAATTAACCAAAATTTTAATATTCAAATATTAAAACTTTTCAACAACAAAATATATTTTATGTTTGTTAATTTACACTTAATCAACTTAAATTTGATGTAAAAATATCTCAAGTCGTTGGATTTATTAATAGAGATATAATCCCGACATTTGTTTTGTTGTTCCTGTTGTTTTTTAAATGTTATTTTTATTTAATAAAAAAGTTATTATTTGTTATACTGTTTTTATAAAGAACAAATGCTTTAAAACAAATGAAAAATAGTTAAAAAATTAATTCAAATAGTTGTTTTGTTTGTTAAGAATAAATGATATTTTTAATAAGGATTTTATAGAATATTTTCAATATTTCTAATTCTATAAATACTAGTTAAAATTTTATAAAAAATTAAAAACAACAAAACATCATTTCAATGTTAATATAAAAAAGGCTTTTGTAAATCGATAAATATAACAGTAAACACATTAACCTTAGGAGTATGAAACTGATTTAAATAAATCGTTATTTTTTTCATAAAAAAAAACAAAAATTAATTAAACATTTTGTTATTACTTTAAAATAAAAACAAAGTAATTGTAACACTTTAAGCAAAGAGTAACATGGTGAAGACTACAAGTTGGGTCTTTGCAAAAATAACAACCAATTGAACTTCTCGCGATAGAGCCTCTAGACCCATCAACGGAACCACAACAACAACAATTCTTTTGGGTAGCAAATTTGACTTCTAATGGATCGTGTTTGGTTGATCCAACTCTTCTACCTCGTTGTTTATAAACAACATCTCCATCTTCAGTTGCCATTTGATTCACGGTTCTCTTTTTGTATTTTTCCATTTTCACGTAAGGTGTTTCAGAAACAAGCACTTTACGAGGAACAAAGCAACAAATTGGTATTTGAAATGTTTCTGTTGCACCAGTTTGAGTAAACAGTACAGGAAAGTCACTTCTGGTAATAACTTCGAGCTCAAGAAGGTTACCCAAATTTTTTCTTTTTGACTTATTTACTCTATCCAATGCATAAGGTTTATACATTTGTTTGGCCAAACGCAACAAAAAGGATTCTCTTGTCGAGTTTCCCGATATTTTGAAAGCGTTATATGCACAAATATCCAAACAATTGAAAAATAAAGCCAATGGCCATCTTCTTGTACCTCTTTTGCAACTGAAGTGTCTCACCATTTTATCCACCATATCAACACCCCCATTCCCTTGTTGTATGCATTTTGAATCCCAAAAATACATTTTATTTTATCAAAAAACATCAATTCTTTTTTGAAGTCATCATTGTAACTGCCTTTTTCTTTTTGTCAAAATAGTTCAAAATAAAAAGGGGGTGTGTTGGTGGTTCGTCTGTTGCTGCTTGTTTTACCAATATTAAACAAATAAAACTTTTGTAAGGTTTGATTTCTCGACAAATTGATGGCACAAAAGTCCTGTTTTTACGGCAAGTTCCAACCATGTCAATATTTCTTTGTTTTAATCTGACAGCAAGATCCACTGTTGTAAATAAATTATCAATACACAACGTTGTTTGATTACCTACCAAAAAATCTGGTAATATCAAAGTATCAATCATTTTTATCACCAAATTTTCAATGTAATTTTCTTCATTATCAGCAACACTTCCTAAATATAGTTCCGAATTACACACCAAACCAGAAATGTTGTCAACCATTGTCCATACTTCATTCCGTATTTTCCCGGTTTTGTTGGTATAAATTGGGTAAATTTACAATGACCAAAATATTTTACCAGTTGTTCATCTATGCAAAATGAACTTTGTAATGAGTTATTTTTGGTATAAGATCTCATATTTGAAATATAAATCTCAAAGAATGTACTCACCAAAAAATAGTGCTTGTTATCAAATACACAAGACTCTTCATCTAAAAGACCACTTTCCTCGTTGACATTTTCATCTTCATCCTCCAAAACCAAATTTTCGTCTTCTTTTTCAATTTCTTCACTCGAAGAGTCACTTTCTGAGTTTTGTGTTGCTTTTACAATATCAACCCATTGTTGAGTGTTTGTTATCAACTTTTCATTCAATACTTCATCTTGCAGTTCTAATATATGTGTAATCTCCATAACTTTTCTTCTCATTCTTCTTTTCCACTTTTTTGTATACACTTTATCAACTTCCATTGCTTTTTTCTTTCTTTCTTTTTTTATTCTTTCCCCTGCAAACTTATCAAACCTCAAAGAATTCATGATCTGCAAGAATCTTGTTTTTGACATTATCGCTCTGTAAAATTTGTTTCCATCAATTCGGTTGTAAAGAAAATTGAGACTCTTTTTTGAATCGTGGACAACCCCCATATATAACAAAAACCCAATGAATGAATTTAATTCGATTACATTTAGGTCTTTCCATCTCTCTTCGTATAAAACCTTCCCAGCCAAATTAGTTGATTCAATAATAATATCTTTCATTTCGTCACTAAAAAACACTTTAAAGTAATCAGTAAAGTCTCGATCTTGCTGAATGGTCTGGAATTGTACTGGGTTAACTTCTGGTACATTATCAATTTTCACATTCATTTTCATTCCAAAAATATAAGGGTTCTTGTTTCCCTTTCACAGTTTTTGTAGACAAAAACATTTATATTTTCGAGTTTTGTAATAACAATTTTTTTATTTATCAATTTACAAAAATAAAGTTATATTCTAAAAAAACTAAAAAATAAAACAATCCACTGACCAAACGAAGATGTTTTATATAGTGTTACTGAATAAGTTGCTCTTTTGACAACCAGTGGAAGGCAACAGACAACGTGTTGTTGTTTAATGATACTACCATTGACATTTGAGATAGACACAGCTGGCAGTGTGATGACCACAGAGTCGAAAAACTCAAAAATATTAGCAAAGAAGTCACAAGTGGTTTTAATAAATGCGGAAAAACAGCCTGGTGTCTTGGTCCAAGTGATTGAATGAGATGTGTTTTGACTGCAACTTGCCAGGGAAGTTTGAGTTAAGTTGGATACATATTTTAAAAAGGTTATTAGCAATTGATGTTTTCCTCTTTTTCTTTGAATTTGGGCAATGATTTAATTAAATCGGTTTCATACTCCACAGGTGAAAAATAATTTTCACAAAAAACAAAAAAAAACAAAAAATAAAAAAAAATAAAAAAATAAACATCCTAAGGTTAATAATAGTTTAACATACTTTAATTAATTTAATTTAAAAATCAACATCGTGTTTTATTTTAAATAAACAATTTTATTGTATTTTTAATCAAAAATTTGACTGTTATTTAAACAGTTAAATAAAAATTAATAATTATAAAAACTATACATTATAACATGGTTTGTAAATTTGAAAAAAAATGCAAGTACGATTATAAGTAAATGTTGTTTGGAGTTAGTTTTTGAATATAAAACACAGACAATTTGTGTGCACTGAATGCATAATAAACCCTTAAAATATCAAAAAAGGCATAAAAGATCGAATGTGTTTGTATTTCATCGTTGTATTAATAAATTATCGTATTTTTTATCGTAAAGAAACACATAGATTAAAAAATAACGAACAATTTTATATTTAAGCACAAATTTCATATTCAATCACAATGAAATGCAAGGTTGTTTTTTCTCCTTTATTTTACAACATATAATATTATACCATATAACAATGTATAATCAAACAGATGCCGGCTTGGATTCAAGTCGGCAAAAGACCCCCGAGTCCGTGTCCCCCAATCCCCGAATCCTCCAGTCCCCCAGTTCCGAGTCCGAATGTAGCAAACAGTATGTTGTCAAGATATCCCAATGTCTGGTTGATGGTCTCACAGTAGTCAGAATAATGCAAGAAGTTGGAAAAGCGTCAAATCTCGGGTTAAATTACAATGAATCAAAGTACTACTTCTTGGAGATCAACAAGTAAATTGCCAAACTTGCCGCACTGACATTGAGAAAACAACCAAAAGGGAATTAAACCAGAGTGAAACGAATTTCACTCATTCCCACGTACATATCAGGAGTATTCTTTGTACATAACGATAGCATGAAGTGTCTGAGGAAGAAGTTAAGTTGAAAACAACGGTGTGTTTGGGGAAAGATGTCTTCTGAGACTCTGTTCAAAAAGTTGCCAAGCAGTTTGGTAGGAATTAAAATACGTTGCTTTTCTCTTGTATGACAGACAAGTTTGGCGAATTTGTGAAAGAGAAGGTGGAAATGAGACTGGAGTTAATTTTATGTTATGTTGCTGCCAACTTACAGATGTGTGAACCCAAGATACAATTTGAAAATAAAATAGAACTTATTTTGGTGTCACTCCCACTCGAAAACAAAAACTTGAAAACGCGATTTGATTATGATTAAAGGAAGACTTGAGACAGCAAAGAACTTACTGGAGGCGTATATTTATTATGTCGTTCAGAGTGTCATTGGGATTATTCTTCAATTGGATACAAGCTTTGGGAATCAAAATTGTTGAAAATAAAGCAACACTCAATATAACAACTGACCCCGGATTTAAAGATGCCTTAAATTTGGGTCTAAAGTTGATGAAGTCATTGTGTTTGTACCCATTTTGGAAATATTGTGTGTAATATTAGCTTCTTGATCTCTGTTGGAGATTTCTTTGTTGGATTGATGAGGCGTATTAAATCAACCTTTAAAGCTGTAAAACTTTCGAAAGATCGTTTAATGAACACAGAGAAGCTGTTATGCTGTAATTTATGTCTTTTGTTTTTTTATTTTGTTGGTATTTCAAACATTCTTCTTTTCAATTATAAAATATATTTAATAATTTTACATTCTTACTAATTACTAATTGTTATACTTGAAAGCATCACCAAACTCAACAGAAGTGATTTTATTGGGTGTGTGAACGTGAATGAACTGACTTTACCAAAATCACTAAAAGAAATCGAAAAAACACTTTCAATTATATGTATGATATCCTCTACTTTTCTGGAGACCCAATATTCGTGAAGTATATAAACAAACAGTTGTTGTTTTGAGTAAACATACCAGATTTTGTAACAGTCATACTTAAAAAATGTTTTAAAGGGTGTGTTCGTCTCCAGGATGTGAAGATCCCAAATACACTTTTAAGCATTGAATCAAAAGCATTTGCAAGATGTATACGACTCAAACCAATCACCATTCCTCAAAGTGTGAAATCAATCGCAACCGATGCATTTGAAGGTTGCAAACCAAAAGCATTTAATGGACTAAATCAGATGCAATTTGAATTAATGTTAGATGAACTTAACATTGACAGTTCAGTTACACAAATGATGTTAAAAGACTATTCAAATTACAAGAACATCTAATGTCTCGAGATACCAATAACAACACAAGAAATAGAGTCCGAAATATTTCAGACATTCAAACACTTAAAATTTTTCAAATGCGCACCAATGTGGTTTCAGTTCTTGACAAATAAAAAGATAAAAGTTGCAATAATTCCAAATGGAATAGAAGAATTATTCAAAAGAAAACTGTTTGGAATTGACTCATTAACGTTTTTGTCGATACCAGACAGCGTCGATGTTATCCAGCCTGGGGCTTTAGCATGTTGCGCACAACTGAGAAATGTGAAGTGTGGTTTAAAATATTTCATAATTTTGATTAAAAAAATATAAAAATGCAGATACTTTACAATGAAGTTAAATAGTTGTATCATTTTAATTTTGGACTAGTCAATTTAAAAAAAATTGGTCATACCAGAAACCACTAAAATAATGGACAAAACGATATTCGTGGACTTCAAAAAGCTTGTGAACCTCAATAGAAAAAAATGCTAAATATTTGTTGAATAACAAAGTGCGTATCAAAGAATGTACATAAACTATTTACAAAAAAAAGACTTTGAAGGGTGGACAAACATCAAACGTCTTGAAATTCCAATTTCAGTTAAAACTATTGAACCAAACACTTTTTAACAATTATCTGTAACTCAACCATAGAAATGTGAAATTAAGTGGTTTAATCCACTGCCAACAAACAAAGTTGAAACTCTTTTTATCATTGGTAACATCACTCAACTTTGTGGAAACTTATTTGAACAATTTTACAATCTGTGGATACTCTTTTTACCAGACAGCGTCGTTGGCATTGACCCAACTGTGTTGGACTGTTGCGGGTTTCTTATAATAATACGATGAAATTTCCTTGCATGCCCCAATATGTCTCAAAAGACTAAGAAACGAAAAAAACCCCAAACATTGAGAATACATCCAACCCAATTACAACTTCGAACAAGTAAAATTACTTAAATTTTAACTTCAAGACACCCGAATTTGAAGTTGGCAACGATAACTTGAATTGTATTTCTCTGAATATCTCAGAACAAATTTCAGATGGATTTATAACGGACAAGGAAAATAAATATGGTTTAGGAAATAAGATGTTTTATTTGGTGTGACGGTCCCAATTGGTTTAGATATCTTTGCGAATTTATACTCTCGAATATTTAAAACCCAGGAAAGTTCCAGGACATCGTTTTGGAGATGGTCCAAACGGCTTGGGGCGTCTTTTTCAGTCGACTTGAGAAGTCCATTAAGAAGTGTTCAGACATGGCTTTTTGTCAATCAGAGTACAACAGCTTTTATCATGAACTGAATGTATGGCTCATTATTTAGAGTACAGATCTTGTGAAAGCCCATACCTATATATTCGGCGAGTCAGTTAAAAGAATCGATTGGGGTGAAAATGCAATCATTGGAGGTATCACAATCGCATCAATTGGAATTTCTGTCTTCTTTCCACCGGCGCCGCCTTAAGTTATTGTAAGAACTGGTGTAATGCTCGAAGGAGGGTTGGAAGTGTATCAACAACTAAAAATGGAGATGACATCAATTGGACTGCAGTACTTATTAAATCTAATGCTGGTGCTATAAAAGGGGCAATTGCAACAAGTGGACTTGGCACAGTATACCCAGGACTTGCGATTGGAGGTACAAAAGCTCTCGAGAATTTATTATAGGCAGCGACTACAGGAGGATTCCTAGACATTGGTTCTAATAGACATTGGTACTAACCCTGAGTGAAAATAATTTGAAACACTTTAGAAAAAAACTTCTTCCCAAAAGTGATTTTTTAAAATAGAACAACAATTTTATTTTAATTCATTATTAAATTTAATAACTTTTTCAGAATAAATTTTTTTAAAATTAAAAAAACTTAATATTTACATACAAAATTATTCGTTGCGTCATTTTAAAAACAGAATTGAACCAAGAAAAAATCAAGTTGTGCATCTACTTTTATCGGTTGATAGAAAATGTTATGCTTTTAACAGAAAAGCAAAAGATGGTTGTGTTGTATATAAATGCAGTGGAGATGGTTGTAAAGTTTTTGTTTTAATAACAGATAACAACACTTTTAAAATTGAAGGTTCTCATACTTGTTTTATAAATCACGAAGAGTTGTATCGTGCAAGATGTCTCAGACAAATTATTAACAATGAGCTTGATTTAAATGTTACTCAAAACATAAGACAACTGATCAACAAAATAGTTTTGCTACCCGATTGTGACAAAGCATCTGAAAAAGATATTGAAGCATGTGTTAAATATGCAAGTCGTTTACAAGATAAAATTTTGGGAACTAATAAACGATACTATCTTTATTGGCCCACGCCCTATTCTCCCATTTTATAGAAAACGTCCGTTATCATAAAAATAGAATAAATAAATTAAATTGAGTGGAATTATAAAAAACCGACTTTAAAAGCTATCATTTAATCGGCAAATATAGGGAATATTCATACAATAAAAACTCCCCACATTGATTTCATAGAAAATATTACAATAAAACATTTTTTATAATAATAACTTGATATACTTGTATTTTAATATTTGGTATTCTCCACACAAAATAATCGTTTTTTCGTGGTTTTCTGAATCCATCTTTTTCAAAATAAATAATATTGATTTAAATAACCCAAAAATATTTGTTTTCAATCAATTATTAATCAAAGTAATATTATTTTTATTTATTATATTATAAACCCTTTCAATTTATGAATAAATGGAAATAAACATACTCTTTGTTTTTAAATTAATTGATATATTATATGTTTTTTACATAAAGAAAAGAAAATACTAAACTATTTCTTACTATTTATTAATATTTTTTGACATTAAAACATGTATTTATTTTAAAAATCAATTTAACCCTTTATGTTAATCTCTGACTTAAAACAACAAACATGGTTGAGCGTCACCAAGTGTTTATTGTTGAATCTAAACGCAGAAACCCATTTCCACATTATGGAGGGTATTTATTTTATCCAAATTACAAATCAAGAATAAGATTGTCTTGTAAACAGTGTGGCTGTTCGATTAAACTCATACAGGATGCCAATAATCCCGAACACTTTTATTATGAAGGATCTCGACCAAATCATTTGAACGGTCACATGAACGACAGTTCATTTATAACACCGTTAGAGGACATAAAGAGGATAAAAGATGCGGCAACAAATCCAGCTACAAATATTAACAAACAAAAGAGATTGTTAAGTCTGCAAATATTTCCCCAACATCTCGAATAAGTTTAAGTTGTAAATTGGCAAGAAATATGAGAAGTAAAGTATATAACACGTACGATATACAATCTTTTGAACAAACTGATTTAGGAAAGGAGATTCTACTCTACACAACTGAGAGTAAAAGCATTATGATTTTTTGTTCACAAGGAATGCTTGAAAAAGCTACTTTTGCAGACAAAATGTGTGTTGATGGCACATTCAGTCGCTGTCCTAAGACACATTATCAACTCGTAACATTCCACATTGTTTGCTCTTCCAATTTTTCGTTTCCATTTTTATTTGTTTTGCTCGACAAAAGATTATTCTGCATATTCATAAGTGTTAAAGATTGTTGATGACATCTCATACGAAAGGTATAAAATGAAAGTTTTTGATAGAGATACTCTAATTATTTATTCTGATTTCGAAGTTGGATTTATTAAGTCACTCAAAGAACTGTCTTGTTCAATGAAGGGGTGCTTTTTCCATTTTTGTTAAGCTATTTGGAGAAACGTCCAAAAGCTTGGTTATGGTGAAGAGTATAATAAAAATGGACAATTTGCAAAAAAGTCAGGAGATTGATGGTTTTGGGGTTTTTGAAAGCTGAAAATATTCCGAATCACTTTCATGAATTAAAGGAGGAAACAATAGGAGATAAATCATCTGAAAGAATTTATAAATACTTCGAAGAAACTTGGATGAACACAAATATGATCAACGTTTGGTGTCATCATAACTCAATGATGAGGACAAATAATATATGCGAATCTTTCCATAGTATGTTAACAAGAAAAGTTCCCGTAATAAAACCAGAATTTGGACGGTTTGTTGACTTTTTAGTTGATGTTATGAAAGAGAGTGAAGCAAAAATAATTGCAGAAACACACAGCTCAAAATCAAATAATGATAGACGTGATAAACTGACCAAAGAAATTCAAATCAACGTAGAAAGATTTTATGAAGATGCAGTTTTGGTAGGGTCAGTCTCGAGTTTGTTGGACACAATCTTTTGGATGTTACATAAAAAACTTCTATTAAATCAACTTTTATTGAAGAAGACACTGTGATTAACATGGAAGAAACTCGTGATTTCTGTGAACAGCTTTCTTCGTATGATCAAGTTGAAAGCTTCCAAACTGATGCATTTTCTTCCAACTCTGTAGATCATTCAGTGTCAATACCAAATTCTTCAAGTTGCTTAGAGATTAACAAAACATTGAGAAAAAGACCTCACAAGTTGGATGTTGTCTGCTAACTATAAGACAGAAAAAATGAGAAGTTCAAAGAGTTACAAGTTTCTAAGACCCATTGAAAAGTAAGTCACCAATTTGAAGTCGTTTTTTTTCATATTTTTATATCAATATAAACACTTGATTTAAACCATAAAACTTTGTTATTTAAAAAAAATAATAATGACAATTAAACCTGATTTATACTACAGTTAGTAATAAAGACGTTTTAATTTTTTCATGGCATTCTTTATGAAATGATTATGTTTGATTAATTGATTGAAAACAAATATTTTTGGGTTATTTAAATCAATATTATTTATTTTGAAAAAGATGGATTCAGAAAACCACGAAAAAACGATTATTTTGTGTGGAGAATACCAAATATTAAAATACAAGTATATCAAGTTATTATTATAAAAAATGTTTTATTGTAATATTTTCTATGAAATCAATGTGGGGAGTTTTTATTGTATGAATATTCCCTATATTTGCCGATTAAATGATAGCTTTTAAAGTCGGTTTTTTATAATTCCACTCAATTTAATTTATTTATTCTATTTTTATGATAACGGACGTTTTCTATAAAATGGGAGAATAGGGCGTGGGCCAATGTGGTTTCGACCCAATTTACATCTCACCCTCAGAACACGATTTTGACAGATGAAAATGCTGTTTTGGAAGTGCCCCGACTTGCACGACGTGTTGTTGTATTCAAACCCATTCGCAGCAACGATTAATACGTTTTTTGTTATCATAAAATTATCTAAAACAACTTGGTTGTCAGATACCATCTCAATCTCAATAAATTCGGTGAGTGACAAATCTTATTTTTGGTTTCCAATCACAATCACATTTTCTTCGTTCTCTGTGCTTTATATATTTAAACTCTGTTTTATTGTATCTACTTCGACTTTCATTCGGTAAAAAGTGTCAATTGGTGTGATGTATGTATCAGTGAGTGGGCAATAACTTTCGATGTAATATGGATATTGTGTGTCTTCAGTGTGGTTTACATGACAATATATCTTATCTGAATCACCATACCGTAATAGATGACCTTCAACAAGTACTTTGAATGAGGTTGTGTATGATGACATGTCAAGAGTGTTGTTTGTGTACAAAAAGTCGAATTCACCATCATGTTGAAAAGCAGCAAACACAGTTATTGTAACTGTGTTCGATACAAAAAAAAGAGTGGAAGATCTTTAATTGTTCTATCTGTGGAGACTTTGAACGTTCTTGTCAAAGTTAAAATGAGATTTTCTGTTTGAATTGTACTTTTATTATCAGCATCAAATTCTCTTGTCAATTCAAATGATTTTGATACAAAATTAATTCGTTGTGTCGAACTCGATATTTGAAAAGAATCTCGAGATAATTTAAAGCTGAAAGTATCAAGCAACTCAACATATGAACTTTCATTGATGGAAAATTGACTGCCAACTGTCTTGGAAAACAAATTTAAACAAGTAAGTCTTGATTTTCCAGAAAGTATATTTGTAGGTTGGCTATTTATCAAAGTGATATTATTTTCTACTGAAAAGCGGGCATTTTCAAAAATATTGAATATTGACTTATCAATAATGACATTTTCAACCGAACTCAGCATGGAATGTTCAGAAAGAATTATTGTTGATGGTGTTACTCCAAATTGATTAGTATTTATAATTGAATTACCATTCGCATTACACTTACTTTCAAAGTCCAATTTAAACAATTCAGGAAACATTTAAAATGCAATTTGATTCGAGTATGATTTGTCCTCCTACAAGTTCCAAGTTCTTTTCTGTTGTTAAAGTCGAGCCAGTTGTCATTTGAAACTTACTATTTGTTATTGTTAATGACTCTACATATTCACAAGTATTATTTTTAGTTAAGACATAATCAGATTCTTCCATATTTTGGTGGACATGTTGATAACGCCAATATAATCAACACATATACAAATAACAACTTTATCATATATACTTGTATTTTAGAGATACTCTTAAATTTCTTAAATAAACGAGTTAGATGCTTTAGTTGTCATTTTTTACTACAATTCCTTAAATTTTATAATACAGTCAGTCTTAAATTGTATCTGGTCTCTAACGTGATCTAGTATTTTTTGGACCTATAAAATTGGTATATTTTGGGAAGCCCTCTTAATAATTTGTCCCAATTGTTTCAAGTTTTTTCATATTTTATCTAATGTCCGATGTTGGCATAAAATTAAAGCTATTTTTTTTGTTTACACCAGATAATGTTTGAGGATTGACTTTTATTAAATGATCCACTCAACCATAATTCATCATATTCAAAACCACAATTAAACTTGATATAAATATATTATAAAATATAATTATAAATTCATTAATTTAACAAACAATATTTTGTTATTTAATGAATAAAATGTTTATTATACAATAAAACTTTGATTGTATGTATATTTATATAAAATGGATAAAATACTTTTTACTACTTATCAACCTCTTTCCATCTTTACAATTTTTTAACAATAAAATTGTTATAACAAATAAATACAAATTACCACTTCGAATTGATTAGTTTACACGTGCATATTCAGCTTTCATGGTAAACAATTTCATAGATTTTAATATAATATTATTTAAATCTTTAAAGTTAAATGGAAGCGGTTATAAAGAAAGCAGAGTTTTTTTACTTTTTGCAATAACAAATTGTATATATTTTGTTGTTATTTAAACATAATTCCTTATTGTTTAAAATAATTTAATACGAGATTTTCAGTCCATTAATTACTGAATTATTAGGTTAATCAAACTTTCATAAAGTACAACAAGACATGGTTAAAAAATATAAAACTATTGTTACTAAAAAGTTATATGAATAACAAAATAAACATAAAACGACAAAACCACTTTTGGG